AATAAAACTGTAACTGCAGAAATAAAGATTAGAATAAAAAAAGGAAAAATGTTTCATGTGTGTGAAACAACTGCTTTAATGTGTGACTCCAACACAACTGATTTGAATTTAGAGCTTCTGTTGTAAACAATTTCCAGGGTTCAAGTTGGGTGGAGCTCAGGTTGACTCTGAGGAAGCTCAGGTTGAAGCTCAAGTTGAAGCTCAGGGTGGAGCTCAAGTTGAAGCTCAAGTTGAAGCTCAGGGTGGAGCTCAGGTTGACTCTGAGCAAGCTCAGGTTGAAGCTCAAGATTGCCATTACATACCTGATATTGCGCAGGGCCAATAGGAGGTAGGTACTATAGCGATGTGTTCAATAAGACGTACATGTATCTACTACAGCACGGCGTCCGATAGAAAATAGATAAGAAATGAGCATGTCGTCCAATGAGAACTATACACTGTTTTGAAGTATAGTCACGTGAGCGCATGTATGAATAAGCGTCCCCGGCAGCGGACATGGTAGACCAAGGGGGTAAGGCAAGAAAGTGTTGGATCAGTGATACAATCTGCTTTGAAAGTTTTGAGGAATAGTGTAAATGTAATGTAGGGGCACTAGTTACACGCCCTTGGTTCCACGTATAACAAGCTATTAGTGAAATGAAATTAATAGAGTAATATGCGTAATAAATATACGCACAAACTAGATATTGCGCCATTATATTTTTAATTTCTTTACCGATTTGACACGTATTGGATACATTGAGATAGCCGTAAGTTATCAATAACGGCGGAGAGTTGTAAACAATATTTAAAGGCGCCGCCATCGATGTATTGTGCGCGCTCTCACTTATTGATTGCGTGCGCATGTGTGTTCGGCTATAAAAGAGAAATTTCGCGAAAGGACTATAAAATAGACGGGGTGCACGTAAACAAAGGTACGAGCATTGGATGAAAAAATGTAGGTCACGTGTTCTATATGGCGAAAACCTATTGGCCAGCTTGAGATGTGTCATAACCCGTCTATTTATTATGAAGAGCTGCTGAAGAGCTGGGTGAAAGCGTTCTACATTCGAACGTGTTCGAAAAGCTAAAACTCAGAGTCTGAGAAAGACGCAAAACCAATACATGTACGAGTTCGAGTCAAAACATGTCACCATGGCAATGCTCGAAGTACTGTTTTTTTTTTTTTAATTTCTAGAATGTAACTAATAACTTATTTTAGCCAAGAAGGATATGTTCATGTATTATTTCTAGTATTGTATTAACTCAGGCACTTTTGTCTACCGCCCTTGGGTAGACTTGCATATAATCTTTTTTTTTGTATTTTTTTTGGGTATTTTTCAATAAACTAAAATAAAATATTATGTGAGTGTATAAATGGCGAAAGCTGGGTTATCGCGAAAGTCGGGTATACCATATTTCGTAGTCTTCCCCCCCCCCCGCTTTCGTCATTTATACACTAAAATAATATTTTATTTTATTGAAACAAAACACACCAGAATACTAGACTGTATGCAAGTCTACAAACATGGATGATAAGAGCACGCACTAGTGTCGTATTATACCACAGAACTTAGAAAACATGATTATACAGGTCTATGTTTATACGCTAAAAAGTCACCGGAAACAAGCATTTTATTTGCTAATTGACAGAACATACATAGATGAGCAACTTAAAGAAGGGTATCACATTATCGGCATATCAGGGGTTGACCATTAACAACTTGGGGTGTACAATACATCAACTTTACCCAGAAAAAGGAAATCTAGCTCAAAACCAAGTGATAGGGGAAAATGCACATCTCCCCTCCCATCATGATGGTCAACTCCAGCTGCAAATTTGAAGACAATTTCAGTCCTAACAATAAAACCGAGATCTTGAAATCTTACGGGAATGCTACCTTCCTACGCCTTGAGATTGAGATATCTGATACGTCATTTCTGTCTTAGCTTCTCAACGTAAATATTTTATCAGTGGTCCACTGACGTAATAACACATGCTACGATACCAGCTGTCCACTGAAGTAATCGCACACGCACGTTGACCCGAAGAAAATGAACAACGTTCGAATGTCTTTTCAGTACGTTGTATCGATCGACTAAAATGATATCATTAATTGCTTCCACTTCAACGACGTTCTGCTTCATTCAATCCTTTTCTATGCAGAAAACAATGACGAATATAGTAACTTGCACAGCACTGCATACAATATAAAACGACTCGGACCAAAGACTTTTCATTTAGAATAAGTCAGAAGTTCAAGTTGAGTACGTGACATGACATACAGAGACATAATGTTTTACAAGTACCAACACGCCAATTCCAAAATATCGAATATTATGTTCACAACATTTAGTCCGGACTCAATCCATGTAAAATTGATTTGCCTCAAGCGCGGCAAAAGTAACAAACTCCGGTAACATTATTCTTGGTAACTTTGGCAACGAGTTGATCTCCAACTAATTCTCGCACGGCGACCAGGTCGTCACCGGGAGTGGTGCCCCGGGTGTACAACTTCCCATCTTCCAGCGTGGCGATGATCTTTCGTTTCCCGAACATGGTAAGAATATCCGTGGGTTCGCCAAGTTTGAATTTCTCCAAGTGAGGTTTTGGTGACGACTGCGACGCCTCCTTCAAGACCCAACACCCATCATCCTCGTAAATCTCCAAGGATGGTTTAGCAGCGGCCATTGCCTTAGCGGCAACGTCTGGAATCCCCATCTCGGCAAAGAGAGGTTCGGAATTTTCGTGCTTCACAAAGACCCACTTGCCTGCGAATTCTGCTAAACTGGCCATCTTCTGGGTCTGCGTGTGTACCGGTGGCAGCGAGTGTCAGTTTGTCAACGAACGACGAAGCGTTTTATACGCATCGTTCGTGGATATGACGTCACTTACGACCAACATTAACATAACATAATTCTCACTTCGTGATGACCTTTCAATTTCTGATTATCGATAATTTTCGATTTGATCGTTAATTTCCTCTTACGAGAACTATCATTCCGCCCAGCCAAATCATACAAGATTAAAATACGTATAAATAGGAGGTTTTACGAAACATTTTCCCAACCGTAAATTTCTAAAAAAAAAGATGATAATCTGGTCTGAATTGTAAATATCTGCTCGTGTGTACATGATTGAATTATGGTGGCCGCCTCCTAGAAGATATTCTCGTTATTCTCAGCACCGGATTGGATATACGCCGCTACTACAATACAACCTTGCATAAGCAGTGCATTATTCATGGCATGACGTATTCGGGACAACTAATATTCCTGGTTTCATACGTTCCCGATGCTAAACTAAATAACAAATAAATACGTCAGAAATGCGTAATATTTATTTAGAGCATCCCTTCCAGGTTTGTATAGTATCTGCACACAATCATGTTTACTCAACACAAGACCTCTATTTGAATTGAAAGGCCAGACAACTCCTTTCACTACGTTAATCCTTTTGTTACATTTCATGCGAATGTCTGTTTCTGTCAATCTGATCCCGAGTGATCTAATTCTAAATCTAATGAGATCTGAACCACAATTGTACCAAAAATATATAAAAGAAAAAACAAATCTAGGTAAAATTGTTGGCAGCAATAAGATTCAAATAACTGAATACTTTAAGCCCATTGTACTGAATATGGTGTTCAGGCTACTAGACAGACATGATGACAATGGTGGTCTTTATTTCTTTAATAATACTGAGTCTAGACATACATGCCATGGGTGCGATGATAAAACAATATTGAGATATACGGAACAGTGATCGATCATAATATATGATGCCATGACAACTGACAAACAAGGATCATAAAATACCATAACAGGATACAATATAATACGAAAAGATAGAATGTCATTTGAATGTCATTTGCTTCTTGCTTCAAACTTTCCTTCTTTTCTATGTTGTAGCTGAGACAATATTCTGGGGCCACTCACATGACGAGAAGTATTAACCAATCTTAGCGTAGTAAGCCGTGCCTACGACGTCCTTTTTCGGTAATATAGCTTTGACCACCAGTTCACCATTGATCACTTCACGACATCCAACAAACTCAATTGGTTCTTCCGGGTTTGCACTGCGATTCATTAACTTTCCCCCTTCCAACGTGACGATGCATTTGCGCTTACCAAACAGCGTGGGCAACTCTTCCTCTTGGCCGAGACGAAATTTCTGTACTCGGTCGGGTTGCCCTGGAAACGTGGTTTCCGTGATCACCCAGTCTCCATCTTGTTCTTGTATATCCATCGTGTTCTTAATGGCCGCCATCTTTTGTCTCAGCTCTTCTGGAACCCCGATGGCGGCAAAGAGAGCCTCCGAGTTTTCGTGCCGAACCAATTCCCATTTCCCGACTAAGTCAGCCGTATCGCACCCAGCCATTATCACAGCAAATCGTCACGATTAACCCTGTGAGGTACAATATAATCTTGCTCGGGAAATCGTTTTCGAGCTAACCGCTTTACCGTATAGAAATTGAATGTATAGCAGACTGCACCGACCATGTATTGATATGAAGTATTAGTATGCATAGAATTCAGACACCATCTGCATAATTGACATTTGATAAGAGCACAATAATGATATTGTCGCGTTTTAACGCCCAACGTAGTTCTTTTTCAGCGTATTTGAATCGAATATCGACAGTACGGGGACTCCCCTGAGATGTACATTAGCATTCGTATTTAATTTTAATTAAAAAAAATAGGACTTCTTGAAGCGTCGTAGGATTTAAATGCGAATGGTCATTTTACTGATTTTTCCAATCGTGTCATATACGTTGGCAATTTCAACTTGGTAACCAACATGTATGTCGTAAGGAAATCAACTATAACAGAACAAGACGACATATTGGTTGTTACAGTGTTTCACACACTGCAAATGTCAAGTGTCAGAAGACATACAAGTTAAAGGTGTCGTGATGAGCATGCGCACCACATACGTGGCGAAAACCGTTACTATACAGCTCAGATAACAATAAAAAAAGATTGCTATTTTGAGTATACAATGACACGCATAAAAGGGTGGAATATCTGAATAGAAAAGTCACATACAATTGATCATTTAATTGGTCGAATGTATCATTATACTACGGACTATTTTCTGAAAAAACAGCGATATATCGCCCACTGGTTAACCTTATCCTGGCAGGTTCATGTACTTTTGAATTGACTTGGCCGGATAAATTTTATTAATCGTAAACCACCTGATCTGTACAAGTAAACGCACATGGAACGACTGTATCTCTAAAGATCTCTAACACACAAAGAAGTTCGCTGATTATGTTCTAAACATTTTGAATTTCGGCATTCCCATGATGTATCCTTGGAAGGAAAAGATGTATAATAATAATAATAATAAGGTTATTACGAGGATACCTCATGAGCGGAGGTCGATACTTCTGCTGTCCTGTCTTCGTGCATACTTTAGGGTATCCTCGTAATAACCTCATATTATATATATTATTATTTTTTATAGTGCATTAATTTCGAAAAATATAACAAGTCATAGTAATAAAAACTGATGGGTGTATTGTATGCGAATTATTTATCTACGCTTGAGCTAGAAACGTTAATTCAGTTTTGTACAAAATAGTATTCGTACTTCGGTGAAATAATGAACAGCGTACACGCATGCGCATTGAATTATTAATACGTACTAATTAGTTCGTGAATAGATGTTCAACAACATGCATTATAATTGACTGTGATGAGCGAATTAATGATAGCATGAATAAATAAACAGAATCGTTGAGTCACCGTTATAATTTGCATAATAACTGAGAAGTCGGCACTGAATGAACCAACAAAGGACTTTATCGGTCATGCGTAGGTTGTAACGGGATTACCGAGGCAATCCATTTATAATTGGCATATGCAAGAGTTATCTATAGGTTGCTAACAATTCAGCTCAGATTGAGTATGTGATATTTGCATGATTAGGAGGAAAACTGAAATGATAATTTGACAATTAACGGGACGACGTTGCATTTAATCTGTTCACATCACATTACACATCAGTAAGTCTTTGAATATTTTATGAGGGTTCGAACAGCATAATACTGAGATGTCGTTGACCGGTCATTTGATGCTGGTAGGCATTTTCGGAGACTGAATTGAAATAAAGTTGTGCCGTGTTTACATTGAAAGAAAATAACCCAAATATTTGTTCAATGTATAGGTGCCATGACAGCCGTATAGTTACCAATTTTATTTTGGGAAACTGAAAAAAAAATCAGCAGTTTTAAAAACGATATACGTAAATAAGCTTTGCAAAAATATGAAGAGTTTTGGACTACTTTATTTGGTGCGTCAGAATACATATTTTATAATGTGTTATACTAATAATCCGAACAATATTATACAGATACCAAAATCAAGTTGATTTCATTTGAATGAATTACTTTCTTCTCATGGGTCATAAATATGTAAATGAGCTTATCGTTAATTACGACAACGTATTTTTGACAATACAGCTAATGGATTCTTTTGCTACAAATATAATTGAGCAAGCCTGATGAAATGAGCATAATACGTTAAATTATATGCTAATTAGGACACTCATGTATAACCCTTTCTCTGTTAACGCATCATTTCTGCGTTCCCCTAAATGCTCAGTGAATTCAATATGGATGTTGTAATATATATGGTCGAATTACAGATTAATACCGTGAATACTCGAAAATATAAACGATTATTGTTTATTTGTGTATTTGTGGGGAAAGCATTTCTAAGTATAACTAACCCGACAGCACTCAGAGCAGAGGAGTTTTCAACCTGTGCTATTACAACACTTCGCATCACAAACGTCTATGGTCGCCGGGAAATGTGTTCTAAGACCCTGTGACATTCTCTTCAATCATAAAATACAAGCGTGAAGGTGGTATACATTTTTCCTCTAGGAGATATACTGCATACATCGACTTTGTGACCTTGAAATTGAGATCTTAAAATGTAACTGAAATATTAGGAATCACATAAAAATTATGTGTGTCAAGTTTAAAGGAGCTAGCTCTCTTGTAGTTATATCCCGAACCAATCTGATTAAAATAAGATCTTGGTTGGCTTAATTTTTTTTGTATTTTTTTTTATATAATTACTATAATTATTATTCATTTTAATTATTTTTTGATGTTGCAGGATCTTATTTTAATCAGATTGATCCTGAGCAGGCATACACGGATATACTGTGACCTTCAACCCTTGACCTAAAATCTTTATTTCTAGGATCACGTAAGGATCGCGTGTTTTGAGTTTAAATGCAATTACTATCTTTCCCTTGATGATATATTGTAATTATACACACATTGTATATACACTATAAACACAAAATGTACCTAAATATTAAAGATCACAGAATACGTATGCCAAGTTACTGGCTATTCCCCTTTTACCTTTTACGAACACACATGAACACATTTTGCGACTTCGATATTTCATCCCGAACATATACCCCATGTGTGTAAAGTTTCAAGGCCCAGCTGTTGTCGTCTAACTTTCATTAAACTCATACTGAGACTGTGACCTTTGACCCCAAATGGTTACACGGGGAACATGTATGCCAAGGTTTTCAAGTTACATATACTAATATATATAAATGTTTGGTATGTAAACATCATGAATAAATCCCTGTTAATTAGCCCAACATCAACTTGACTATTCAAGTTGCAGTTTTAGGTACGTTAATATGAATGACGCTTTCCGAAACTAATTGAATTCATACAAAATTCGTCCATGCATGCAGTGTACCAGGAAATCGTCATGTTTTAAATATACATCATTGTAAAATGCAATGATCAACAGTTCTGCTGTCATTCAGAGCCGGAATAGACAATTCACCAAGTAAAGTGCGCCCATACGTCGGGGTAACTTTCCACGGAATTCTCCATTACATCACAATTTGCCGATTCGGAAGTTGTCCTTATATCAACAATCAACAGCGAGATGATCAATGTGCGAAGGGGAGGAAGCTAGCCTGCAGCAACTTGGGTCTGACAAGTGCGTTCAAACGGTCCGGAACATGACCCAGTTTCGTCCCAATTGTAATCCAAACCCTGTTCTATCCGTTTTAGTACTCATCTGCCAACCAGAATGGTTATGACAAAACAATAAAATATTGATGCAAATACGTTATGCTTTATACACTTTGTGAGTAACGGCTTTCATACTCCAGACGTAAGAAACTGCTAGTTAACAATCATAAATAGTAACATCTCAGATCTAGCGAATATTGCAAAATTCTATGATTTGTACTACTCTTACAGTAACCTTATATATATTTATACAAGTTCAATGTAGCTATGGATATTATAATATTATTTCAGCTACTTATATTCTGTATGCGGTAGGCATCCTGGCGCTGGTGGCGCTGTGCAAGACTCCGGTAAGTCGTCACGGTGCATGTCAGTGAATCCTTCTTGGGACTAACAACTGGGTTTCTTATACCAGGACGGGCCTTTAGATTTTTTGACCCCATTTAAATGTGGGTAGAGAATAGGACACAACTAGATCAAAAAGAAAAGAAAACTACGACAATGGTAGTACGCTACTCAAAAATACAAATACTATATACAGTGTCACATACCGTGACCCAGGTTTCATTGTGTTTAAAGCTAAATAAATAAGGATATTGACGTAAACAAAATCAACAATAGCATCATTTAGTCAGTTTTGGAACGTTTTTACTCCGAGTTATGGCTGAAAGGGTATAATTCTGCTGTCTTGATTTTCTTGAATACAAAATCTTAAAGTTTCAAAAATGTAAATATTTCAAAAATGACCAACGTACCTAAAAGGTCAAACGTGCAAGCCTTTTCCACCCAATGTCGGGCTTCAAAAATACCAAACGTGCCTTTCAAGCATGAACAATTTTCAAAAATATTAACGCTTCAAAAATGGCAAACGTGCCTAACATGCGAAACGTATTGTCGGGTTTTCAAGTTCAAAAATGACAAACGCACTGTGCCTAAAATGACAAACGTGTAAGACTTTCCATACCCAATGTCGGGTTTTTAAAATGCCAAACGTGCATTGCATGACAAATTTTACAAAAAGACTGAACGTACAATCCCTTGCCAGGAAGCCAAACGCCGGGTTTCAAGAATGCCAAACGTGCTTTTAAAAGATGTTGAATGTAAAAGATTAAAAAATTACAAACGTTAATTTAAAAACTGTAAACGTTTACAATATTTGACAGTTTCACAAATGTCAAATGGAAAAAAATTGTTATACATTTTAAATTTTTAACCACCATAAATGATTTTAGTTTTCAAACGAGAACTGCACCACAGAAATACACGTGTTAGATATTTACATGTTTGATTTCCGAATTGTCTAAGTGTCTGCTGTTGGCCAATCAACATAAGCACAATTTAATCAGTATTT